ACAGATGGATCTGTGTGGATTCTGTACTGGTCTGTTGTAGTGAAGTGGGAGCTGAGCTGTAAGGCGAAACATTCTGTTTACTGCTTGGTCTTTGTTCCTACCTTCACCTATGGCTAGAGTTGGGCAAAATTGTATCTTGTGCAATCAATCGTCAGAAAAACTTAAATTCATGATTTTTTGGCACCTGACATTTAAWAAGATTAATGCTGCCAGGCAGAGTGACTGGGGATTTACAAACATTTACAAAACAAAGTTCTGTCATTTATTTATCGTAACTCCGGTTTTACTTGGTCTAGCAACACAATTTGAAAATTAATATACAGCCTGAAGTCTGTACTTTTGACACAATTTGGAACAGATTTTTATGGAGAGCAAATATTTCCCACTAGAATAATGACACGGTCATGTGACTAGCGCATGCAGGTGTCCAGGGACTCCAAGGGATTCATCGTCATATTAATTGGTATCTGTAAAATACCGCAAATAATCGTTTCACCCAACCCTAAATGGCCCCAAACTTGGGGTAGCGACCAAAATAAAACGATTGTGGATACAAGCAGTCAAATTTGCGTTGTTKTTTTTTTTAATGCAGGGTCGCTGGACTCTCTCTTAGAGATAGGGTGAGAAGTTCAGAGAGACTCAGAGCAGAGTCGTTTCTCCTCCACATTGAGAGGAGCCAATTGACTTGATTCAGGCATTTGGTAAAGATGCCTCCCTAGGGAGGTGCTTCAGGCATGATAGACTGGAAGGAAACTCCAGGTAAGACCCAGGACATGCTGGAGAGACTATGTCTCTCAACTGGCCATTGAATTCCTTGGAATCCTCTCAGAATAGCTGGAAGAGGTGGCTGGGAAAAGGGAGGTCTGGTCTTCCCTGCTCAAGATGCTGTCTCAATGACTCGACTCTGGAATAAGCAGAAGTTAAAGGGACAATATCATGTAAAATCAACTTTTTTGAGTTTTATATCATGTTATAATGTTATACTCTCATAAAAAAAACTTGCCCCAAGCCTTGCTTTGACTCATTCATGCATGTTTGAGAAATCCTGCAGCTTTTTTGGGAAGCCATGCTGAGGAGCAAAACGACAGGTGGGGACCAGAAACACCTTTTGGGACCAGAAACACCTCTGGGT